TTGTGTTGTAGCATTTGTTCTGGAAGCTCGTATTTACATTTTAAGTATATCTGGTGAGTGGGCAGGAGCCCTCGTCTGGGCCGGAAAAGAAAGAAAGCCCTCCGGGTCGTCTTTTAGTTGCTCCTCTTCGTTTACATCCCCAGTTTTTCATCACTCCGACAAGGTAGGGGCTGAAAATCTACAGCGATCAGTTTGCGGGGTCTGGGAAAGTTTTTTTTTTTTTTTTTAAGGAGAAAAGGTTAAAAAAAAAAAACCTGGGGAAGGGGGGTTGGGGGATCGAATGAATAAAAAGGGGAAGGAAGGCGGATCCACGTGGTTTAATCGGAGACAGACAGAGATCCCATTGTTCAAAATCGATTAAAAAAAAAAAAAAGGCAGACAGGGCGAAAGCCGAGGGGACGCTGGGGGAAACTAGCCGCGGAGCCGGGCACTTCGCAATCCTGATCGCGGAGATCGGGCCGGCTCGCACATTCAGGAAGAGGGTCGGGAGAGAGTTGGACACCATTAAAGTTTATCTTTCTTGCTTGCGCGAGCAGGTGTTTAGGGTTGGGGGGCGGCTTTATTCTGGGCTCTTCCCTCTTTTCTCGCCCGGGGCAGCCCCCCGCCCGAAGAATTTGGCTAATTAGAGCCCAAGGTCGGAACCCCAGGGATGGGGCGAAATTTGGGGCTCCGGCCGGTGCAGGGGGGCGGGCGAGGGTGGAGAGAATTGCATTTAATTGAGTGGGCTGGGGACGGGGGCGCTGAGACAAAAGCAGCAGGTGGGGCGGCCGAGGAGGAGGGAGCTCCTTTACAACGGAGGTGCCAAAAGGGGCTCTTTTCAAGTGTCCCGAAGCTTTATTAAATTTTAGAGGATCGGGGTCTCCTTTTCCTTTACTTTTTTGGCGACCAGGTTGCAACTGTGATGCCATGTAGGCAAACCTAACTTGATGATGGGCCAGGGTGGCGGTGGGGGAGGGAGCCTCCATTTTTTTTTTTCCCCTGAACGGATTGCAATTTGGGATTTCGCCTCCTGTACGGGATTCCCCGGAGGAGCCGGCCGGGGCCGAGGGAGGGGCGCGATTTCCTCTCCCAACTCGCCCCCTCTCCGCCCACACGCGGCCGCCACTTTGGGGCGGGCAGGGAAGGAAGTGGAGGCCGGGTGGCTCGTCTCCGCTCCCCTCCCCCCGCGCAGTTTATAACCCGTCCATTGTGCGCCGCTGCCCCGTGTCTCCCTTCAGCCGCGACGATGCCCAGGAAGAAGGCGGCGGCGGCGGCGGCAGCCTGGGAAGAGCCGAGGTCGGGCAACGGCACGGCCCGTGCCGGGCCCAGGAAGCGCGGCGGCCCGGCCGGCAGGAAGCGCGAGCGACCCGAGCGTTGCAGTAGTAGTAGCGGCGGCGGCAGCAGCGGCGACGAGGACGGCCTGGAACTCGACGGGGCCCCCGGTGGGGGCAAGCGCGCGGCGCGGCCAGCGACAGCGGCGGGCAAGGCGGGCGGCGCAGCGGTGGTCATCACCGAGCCCGAGCACACCAAGGAGCGCGTCGTGAGTGCGGCCGCTGGCGCGGGGCTGGGGACAGGGAAGGCGGAGGGGTCGCGTCCCTGGAGGGCGGGGGGGACCTCGGTGCGCGCTTGGGTGGGGAGACCGCCTGCGCGCGTTCCCTCAGGGCGCCCGGGCAGGCGCAGGCGTGGGCTGAATCATCGCCGCCTCCGCACAACAAAAGGGTTCGGGCCGGGGGCGGGCGCGGGCCGCGGCCTATCCGGACCCCGCTGGCGCGCGAGCGGTTGGTCGTTGGGGCGCGCGCCCCGGGCTCCCCGTGGCGGGGGAGGGGCGGCCGGAGCCCGCGCAAGAGGGTCATGGCCCCGCCCCCGGCGCCGCTCCGAGCAGACTCCTTCCTCCTCCCCTCCCCCCCCGCCCCGCATGGGAGACTTTCTTAAGTTCACTCCGGCCAGAGGAGGGGACAGGCGGCCGCGAGGAGCGGCGAGCGGTGCTGCCTGCCCTCGGTGGCCTCCCGCGCCCTGCCGGGGCTTGTCCGCCTGGGCGTCACCGGGGAGGGGGCTGCCGGCGCTCTGCGGGGAGCGGCGGTTTGCGCCGGGGCTTTGAGGTTCCCGCCGCCTCGGCTCCGGCTCTCCGGGGGGGCGGGGCCTGGCGACCGCCGCGCATGCCCCGTGCGGTCCTGCGCTGTCTCGCGCCGCCGGGAAGGCGGGGGCTGCCGGCTCCTGGGCGGGTGCGAGGGCGCATGCTCGGGAGAGCCCTCCCCCATCCCGACTGAGAGGTGTTTAGGCTTTGTTCGCTGCTTCTTGGGTGGGTGGAGGGGGGGCGCCTTGATGCTGGAGAGCCTGCTAATGAAGAAGTATCTCTGGTGGTCCGAATGGGCTCGAATTTGTTTATCAGTGTTGGGCCTTCAAATCAATTAAGGTCGTGATCGGCTCAAAGTCTGTAGCTGCAAAACCCTCCCTTCATAGTTGCAGTTCTAACCTAGGGTCTGAGATGTCTCTCCTGACGCTAGAACTTTTTGCGAGTTGGCGAGTTCACCACAGTCTCAGATAACCACCCCCCACCCTCCTAAAAGAGTAGGAACTTCCACTTAGGATCTAGAGTCTGACACTGTGGAGAGGTCCCTTCTCCCCATAAGCATGTTCCAAAGGGTGGTTAAGGGTTAATAGTACCAGAGTTCTTTCCCCCAGAGGAGCTCAGCAGGCTATGTTTAAGTGGTTAAAGTAATCCACTTTCCACAGCCACCTTAGAGATGAGGAGCTTGTCTAAGAGAATATGGAACCAGATCTCTAAATGGCTCAGGCTTTCTGATGTCATTCTTCACACCTTTGCAAATTGTCTGCAAGAAGATGCTTTATAACTGCCTCCCAGTGAAAGGGTAGACAGAGAAGAGGAGAGTGAAGTGAGGGAGAGCTGGAGTACCTGACATATCTTGCTGTCCGGGGTCTTCCAAGGGTCTTGGGCGAGGCTAGTGCCAGGGAAATGACCACAGTATTGAGAAACTGGAACACAGGAATTGCTTTCCTTTGAAGTTCACTGTGTAAGGCTCCAGATATTTCCTTTCCAATCCCAGTGTATTAGAAAACTAAAAAGAAAGGGCAGGTAGGTTTCTGCTTCTTATATTTGGTGTGTGTTTCCAAAACCAAGATGCAGCGTTTGATTGTCCACTCACACACTGTCATCTGCAGTGCTCTGGTCACCCTGTTGTACGGTGAGTTTTGTTGGGAAGGAAGAACTTCCTACCCCAGTGGTGAAATTCACCCAAGAACTCTTAGTCAAAGAGGAGTCGGCAAGGACAGCAGATCTCCAGTCTGCCTTTGCCTCTGCCTCTACCAGCACTGCATTAAGTCAGTTTCTCTGATGGAAATGGCACTTGGTTAGTCTTACTGGAAGATTCCATTGCTCCCATGAGAAGACACAACAGTAGTCCATTGCAGTTTGTGTTTATTTTATATTTACACTTACTTTGTATGTTTTAAATTGTTTTTGTCTGTGTATATTTGTAGTTATCCCCACCCCCTTTAAAAACAAGAGGGCCTGCTAAGCTGTTGAAGGGTCTGCACACCACCCTAAGGAATTACACAGACGCAGCCTCAGCATCAAGGAGACTGTGATATGTGAAGGTCCAGCAAATGATGCCTTTTATGCCTTGTGCGAAGTGCACATCCCAAGCTTTAAGTTTTCATTAGCATAGATTGAGTTTGGTTTCAGAGTGAGGGCCTTTCCACAGGTCTAGAGTCACCACCTCTTGTCCTGCCTTGGTCTCAGGCCAGCTATCCCTGGCCTAGGTTCTGGTCTTCAATGGAAGCGCAAGGTCTCCCCCTGTTGAGCAGTTCCTGGGAAAACCTGTCTGCTGCCACAGGCCAGCAGCAGTTCTTTGCTTGTTTCAGAAAGAGCCTTTTCACCAAGAATTTTGCAAGCCTTGCCACTGTTTAGGGTTACTTGAAGGTTTGTGTGAGAGCAGCTGCTGAGAGTTGTCTAAAACCACGTTACTTTTAGTTAACTCAAAGCTGCAGGTGTTGGGCTTGGGAAAGATGAAACCAGTGCTTTCACTGTTGACAGGAAACTTGCCTTGAGTCAAAGATGTGTACTTTTATAGAACATTCTGATTTCAAGCTCAGAAAGTGTTCTCTGTAAGGACCCTGGGTTTATGTATAGTTACGTCAGATGAGTATTTAGTGATCGTCTAGGGTTGAGTCAGTTTGAATTCCCTGTGAAACTCACACCCCTGTAGGTAGAGCAGGCAGCATCGCGGAATCTTAGAAAACAGGTGGCTGTCGCAAGTTGGAAATTGTCCGTGTTTTTGTCGTCTTCCCAGTCTTGGGTTGCCAGGTTTTGTGGACCCTGAAACAAACTGTCCAATCCGAAAGGACCAAATAAAACTGAAAATCGAGCTTTTGAAGCCTGTTTTAGTTGATTGTCCATTAGGGAATTTGTTGTTGCCAGCATTTCTCTGAGCAGTTCTCCCTCCTCAGAGGGCAGCAGTGTTCTAAATGGATGTATGTTAAAAGGTTGACTCTCAGCCTTGTAAACATGTTCCTTGCGCTCAGACAGTAATTCAGGAATTGCTCTGGACCAGAAATCCCATTTTGTTGATCGAAGAAGCTCGGTGCATTTTCCTGCCATTGCTGCTAATCTCAGCCCAGGTTACGTGACCAGGTTGTTGGGAGGCAGCAAGGTGAAATGAAATTCACTCATCCTGTTGGGCGGAATGTGTTTTCAGGCTTTTCTGCTACATGGCCTTTAGATGGCAAGCAATATCACGAGCGCTGAGTTCATCCAAAGACAATCTCCAGTCCCATCAGTGAAGGTTTGATTACACTGGAGGTTCACATAACCTGATGTCCACGCAGTGGCAGCCCTTCTAGATGGAGCCAGATGGGCATCAGGGGCTCTTCTGTGTGATGAGAAGTTGCAGGTGTAATGAAGAGCCAACTTGGGCTGTGATTTAAAGGGTGTTAGGAATTCTGTTCATTGTTTTAATTTTTTATTTCATATAAATTGGAGGGAAGAATTAAATAGTGGAGACACAAAGGGTAAGCAGTATACTGGAAACAATTGTGTAGATAATACCAATGAAATACAATTATCTCCATCTAACGTGTAAGAAAATAAAGTCCATGACATAAAAACTTAAATATAACACCATTCATGGGAGTCAGACCACTGTTGTAGCTGAGCTGGAGTAGACTCGAGTTCTTTACAAATACCTTTATCTAAAAGGCTGAATTTTTTAAAATACTTATTGGCTCGGTGGGCTAGTACCCAAAGTCCTTGCCCACTTCAGCAGATATTGGCATCTCCATGTCATAGAGGAGGTCCCCTGTGCCCAAGGAGGTCGCAGCATGTCCTGGCAGTCTGGACGGAACTCAAGCCCTCTGCCCAGCCTGCTTCATCCTTGCCAGTAGCTACAGGTCCAGCACTGGTGGTATCTTTCTGTAGTGATGTATCTCAATGTTGAGTGGTTTAAGCATCTCAACGGTGAACATTGAACATAGTTATCCTTGAACCCTCTTGCCTGTCTGGGCAGGGGGAGCTGCTGGGTGCAGGGTTGCTGCCTGGCTTGCCAGCGCTCTTTCCGAACTCTGTCTGGCCTGGCAGCTTTATTCCCTTCCTGTGTCTCTGCTGCCCCCTCCACACCAGCCTAAGGGATAGTGGAGAACAAGTCAGCTACACGGGCAGAGAACTTTTCCTTCCATGGAACCCAGTTCTTTCCGTGGGTCTCTCCTTCCACGGGAAAATAGAGCTGACTGACTGCTATGCATCTTCAGCATCTTCTACAGTAGACCTGTAGAATATTCCAGTCAGGCCTGCCAGTTAAACAAAGAAGGGGCGATAGATAACCAGGGGAAACTAGGCTGCGATTCAAGTAATCTGAGTCTGTGGGTGCTGCCAGGGTTGAACTACTACCCTCTGATTAAGGTCCTTCACTAAATAATTTAAATTGTGGTGAAGTCCTTCTTGATGGCAGTGCTGTTTCATTTCTCGTTTTCACGCTGACTGCAGGCTGTGTGCCTGTAATGGACCATCTTCCTCCTGCCATGTAAACGTGGCCAAGTAGGAGAGCTTGCCGGGAGCTGTACTGTAGGGGGTGCCTGTATCGTCAGGTTTGGGTCATGTAAAGTTTTGGAATTCATTTATTGGGAAAATGTGTTCAGCCTAAAAATGCATGAACCGTATTGCCCAAACGTTACAAGCCAGGGCAGTCACCATGCAGAGATTAGAATGAGTGAATTTGTAGTCTTCCAAGAACAGTTCTCTAAAGGAGGAAATCTCTTTTCTTTTAATATTCTGGGATGGCCATGTTGAAGATGAAAGCAGAAGGGGAAGTTCATGCTTCCTTTTCCAACGTGGAACTGAGTGGCTAGGTGAGAATTGAATCTTTGAATAGCAATTTACTTTAAAAAATGTCTTTGGACATTTAAAAAATAAAGTGCTGAGAATATCATGAATGCCACCTAGAACTGGCCAGAGGCCTTTTTAAATAACACGTTGCTGTCGACAATTTGAGTGCCTGTGGCCTTAATGACTTGTGTGTTGCAAGACTGATTCCTGAATTGAATTGAATTCACTGGCCACAGCTTCTGTCTCATAGGTCCCAGCCTGGGAGGTCCCTCATTTCTCTCACTGATTGCCCAGCCAGCAGGGAGGCTGAGCCCATCTCAGGCCTCTTGTGTCTTAAACCCCACCCCCTACCCTGGAAGCCTCATGTCCCCTTTTCTTCCCTGCCTCCAATGTAAAAATGGAACCCAGTTCTCCACAGTTTCCTCTCCTGATCCCAGCAAAGGTTCTTGGCACAGTGGGCAGCAAACGGAGGGATGATGGGAAAGGGGATGATGCGATACTACTGTGCAGAAATCATGCGGGCTCCTAAGGGCTGGAATCCGTGTGTGGAATGCTCTCTTGGTGGTGGAAAGACAATCTGGCCCCGAAGATGAGCCGATCTTAATTCTCTGTGTGACATGCCAGGCTTCCTGCAAATACCTGTATAAGTCTGTGCAGACCAGAGGGAAGAAAGGTATTGTGGCTTATCTTTTAGGTTTTGCAAAAGATGTGTCAGAGAAATCACAGGATAAAAATGAGCCCTGGGCGTAACAAACGAGCTGCTGTGGGCAGGTTTGGGATTACGTTCATTGAAGCGAGGCAGCTGGGCCAGTGATTGCATTGAGCCCTCTGCCAGTTGCGTTGAGCTGCTAGGTGGAAGAGGTAACAATGAATTATTTTTCTTTTGTTTCTTACTGTTGGAGAGCTTGGAAAGCTTGAAGGAGTATTACAAACTAATTCTTTTTCCCCCTCTTTCTCTGTCCCTGTAGAAACTTGAAGGGTCTAAGTGCAAAGGGCAGCTTTTGATTTTTGGGGCAACCAACTGGGACTTGATTGGTCGAAAAGAAGTGCCTAAACAACAAGGTATGAAAAACTTTTTTTTTTTAAATCTAAGTAGCTACAGTTTACTGAGTGCTTTCTACATACTGGGTTCTTTGCTTATAGCATCCAAGATGATTCTGGTAACACACTGGCTGGGTGGGTATTCTCTGCTTTTAAAACAGGAAAGCAGAGTTCAGAGGGTTCAAGTGACTTGGCCAGGGCCACATGACCACCAGAGTGATGGATTTGGGATTGAACTGTGGTCTTGTGTGAGGCTCTTGTTTAACAATTCTGCCTTTAAAAAAACCAAATTCATTAAGATTGCACAGAAAAGTATAAATAGAAGTCTCAGATAAACAGCCTTCTTGTTGACACCTTTTTTCATCTCCTCTTACATCACTTCCATTAAAATCAAGAGGCTGGTCCTGGGAGATGATGCCACAAGCACATTTCTTTCAATGCTGCCAGATTGTTTCATGAGCTGGTTTGACAGAGCAAGTAACAGTCCACGGACAGAGGGGGAGAGCACAGAGGTCCTAAGAAGTAACTTTTGTCTCCAGTCGCTTTTAGAAGATAGGTGTTTTTTTCTCTGGAGAATACTGGCCCATCCAAGAGAAGGTTGGCACATTGCCACGTGTTATGACATCTTGATTTCATTTGGAAAGATTCCCAGCATCCTTTCAAACCTTGCTTTGTCTGGTGAACAAATAATTTGCACACTGCCACTCCCTAGCACCTCAAGCAGGGGCAGCAAAGATCATCGTATTCCATGTGAACGGCAGGAGTTTCAGCAGTGTCCTGGCCCACCTGAGTTAGAAATGGGGCCAAGCCTCAGGTAGCAGCTGTTCTTCCTGTTGTGGAAAATGCCCGACCTTCAGGACCAAGCTGACCTTCAGGACCAAGCCGTTAAGGGCTGATTCCAAAGGGCAGCGAGTGCTAGTGCTCCCTGCTGGGCCATGATCACAAGCCTTTGTATGGAACAGCATATCTGCCTGTGCTGTGTTGCATCGTTTCTCAAAGCTGCTCTTGAGCTGAGTGGCCCACCTGCAGTTAAAGACGTGGGCCCAGAGAGGGGAAGTCCATTTCCAGCAGGAGGCAAGTGGCAGGCCCTGGGTTAGAACCCCTACCCTCTCGTTTACTCCATTGCCTCCTGCACATGTAGGATGGAGTGGCGCTGCTCGGAATGACGGCCGGAGTCGGCCTCAACCATCAGCTCAGCCTCCCCATAAACCTCCCTGAGGTAAGAAGGTAGGGAAGCTGCCTGGGGTCAAGAAATGGACCCTTATGCCCTAGTTGAACTGATTGTACCCTAATTATGCTTGTTTTAAGAATGCCCTTTTGTCTTCCCCCATTTCCACCTTTGCTTCCTTGATTTGTCTCCCTCTGAATGAATTTTTCTATATTCTTTTTTAAGAATATCCTCAGGCCCTCTGTGACCTGACTTTGCCGGTAGACGTAAGGGGAGGGAGGGAGGATTTGTTTTCCCACTGGTGTCAGACATGAGAGGAAGAATGATTTCCCTCTGCCCCCCAGTCTTGTGCCATCCTTGAAGTGTGCCTCCTGTCAAAGCCAGAAGAGCCCATCTGACCTTGTGTGACTACTGCTGTGGGTCATAAGATCAGCAGCGGGTATGCTTGTTGGTTTTCAAGATAACAGTGATTCATGCTCCAGCTCTGTGATTAGGATCAGGCCCCGGGAATCTGGAAGCCACAGGAACCCATGTCCACCTGCCTCACCAAGGTGCCCAGGACTGCTGGGGGGTGTTTAATTCAATTTGGGCCACTCTGACAGGGTTCCTTAGGAAGCCAGGAGAGTCTCTGCTTCCCTTGCGAGCTGACTGCGTTTTGGGTGTTAATGGCGCCAGTGCAGAGGAGGATGCTCTGGCAGATCGATGAGCATCTGCCCCCCGTGAGACATGGTCCACTTAGCCAGGCCGGGTCAGATTTAGACCTATTCCCTGCGCAGCGTCCCCTGCCGTCTCCTGGCGCTGTGCATCAGTTCAGCATATGGTGTCTAAGAATGCCACACATCCATCATGCCACCATTGGTCCTGCCTTCGTGATAAACAGACCTTGGTTTTCTCCTAACCAGTTTTAATAGAACCTCTGAAGGCTATCATTTGCGGTCTGATCTTTCCTTCTGGAGATTGTTGGTTTTTCTTTTCACCTTTCAGTAGTTGAAGTGTCTTCAGGTGGAGAGACTTAGATGTGTGGCTTTTGTGAGTTGTATAGTTCTGTAGTCCTCTGATCTGCTCGACAAGCTCCCTGAAGTGGCAGGGGGAGGCCTTTCCACCTTTTCCAAGAATGGCCCTTTGTAACTAAATGAGAGGAGTCACGGGGGTGCGGGAGGGTGGGGGCTCACAGGGGCCAGGTAACTGATGGAAAAATATCGCCTTTCAGTCGGTTCCTGCATCCCAATCAATCTGACAATTGATTTGGCAGCTGCTAGCATTTCAGAGTATCCCCCGCAGATCTGGAAACGCTCTTGCGTTTCTGTGCTTGACAGCCTCAGATTGAAAATATTAAGCAAAAAATATCAGTTGCTGGCCATAGCCGTGTCCATTAATTCTGACTTATAGGAACTCTAGGGGACACAGTAGAACCACTCTGTAGGGCTTCCAAGGAGAGGCTGGTGGATCTGAACTGCCGACGTTTTAGTTAGCAGCCAAATGCTTAACCACTGTGCCACCAGGGCTCCATTAATAGGTTGGAGTATTTGGAAGGAGGTTACTGGTGCTTCTTCTCTCCTGCAGTCCCGCTAACATTTGAGTACTTCCTGTGTGCCATGCTTCTGTTGAGACCTGGGCTGAAAATGGAACCCAAAGCCCTATGATAGGATAGACAGGGTGCAGGGGTGAGCAGCGGGTACAAAGGGGAGATTTCTAAGTCAGATGTAGGCCAGGAGGGCTTCCCAGAGGAAAGAGTGCTTGAACTGAGTTTTGAAGAGGACGTAGTAAGCAGGGAAGGGCATTGTGGGGATGAGGGTGCACGGGCAAAGGCAAAAACACAAAGCTATTGCCATTGAGTTGGTTCTGACTCATGGCAATGCCATTGAGTTGGTTCTGACTCATGGCAACTCCGTGTATTACATAGTAGAACTGTGCTCCATAGGGGTTCCTTGGCTGTAATCTTTACGGAAGCAGGTCGCAAGGAGCCATGAAATATGGCCAGTGGAACAATGGAGCCCTTGAGAGTGGACCAAGCATCAGTGGCAGGAGCTGGAGCTGGGTAGGGGCCTCTCCAGGAAGGGCCTGATGGATATGCTAGTAGGGTAGGTTAGTGACCACTCAAGGCTGTTATGTGGAGGTGGGAGATACTCAAAGTCACAAGTCGGAAAGTACATTCCGGCCGCAGTGGGGAAGCTTAAGTTGGCAGGCAGGAGAGCCATTGGGAAGGTGAGGACAGCTCTGCAGAGAGAAGGGGGGAGCGGGATAAGGGTGGGGGGGAGGAGCAGGTTCCCGGGTCAGCTCTTGCTTAAACGGTTGCCACCCACCCTCACGGGGCTACAGGAAGGGGAGCAGCCCTGCCTTTTGAATAGGTTGAGAACAAGGTCCCTGGGAAGAAGGCTTAGTAGCAGGTGGTCAGGTAGGGCTGCAGCTCACCAGGGGCCTGGGCCAGAGATGGAGAAGGAGTGGCATCAGTATGAAGGTGGCCGTGCTGTCAGCCTCTGGAACATTTGTTCTGTGGCCTCTCAGAGGTCTCGCAGGGAATCAAGGCGTAAACTTCCTTCTCACACAGCCTCCTGACACTGTTCCCCGAGGAGTACCTGCCAGATGTGTGGTAGGAAAGTGTACCCTCTGTGGTAGTGGTTGCTTTTTGAGGTACTTCTCACCCACCTGTCATTGCTCCTTGGGTATTTGATTTGTGTTCTTTTCTCATTGCAGCTGCTTACCGCAATCTAGGTCAGAACTTGTGGGGGCCCCACAGATATGGGTGCCTGTCTGGGGTCCGGGTGCGGACAGTGGTTTCAGGTTCCTGTGCCGCCCACAGTCTCCTCATCACCACAGAAGGGAAGCTGTGGAGCTGGGGTAAGTACTGCGCTGGAGCCCCGTTAATATGCAGTGGAACTAGGGACAACCCTGGTCATAGAACTGTCCCCCCACAGGGCTTTTTGTCTGCTTGGAAAAGAGACGTCTTCTAAAGCAGAGCTCCTTGATCTGCAGCCTGTATGGTCTCTTTTCCCAGTTCCCATCTAGTCTCTTCTATACCATACAGATAAGTCGTCTTCCTGCACACAGCGCCCTAATGTTTTGAATCCTCCTCTTCAGGCAACCTTTTACTGAACATTCTGACTGAATCTTGATATTTCTGATATCGAGGTGCCTAAAATTAAACTCCTATTTTAGGCATGCCGTCCCTCCAACAGGCAGTCCCCTTCTTGATTCACAATGCAATGTGGCATGTGACCTTTGTTCTTGCCACTTTAAATGCCATTGGCTTTGAAAACTGCCACAGCATACCGGAAGCCATGCTCGCAGCTCCGCCGTCTGCCTGCGTGTAATCCTGTCTGTTTCAGAGGTTCACACGGGTCTGCGGGTTTTGTAGCCTTTTGCCTATTTTGTCCATTTCTGGTTTACCCAGATATTTTAGGACTTGATTTGCTTTCCCTTCTGCTGTGTTTCCTCGTCTGGGTACTTGGGATGGTTTTCTGTCCTTGCCTTGTACAACCTCCCTTCCATTCCAGGGTCCTCTGCAGAAGGCTTTCGTATCACTGCCTATTTCCTCTTCCAGATTATTAATACAGTTATTGCCTAAGGCTCAGTTTGTCCCCAAGCTCTCCCTGGACCCTCCTCCCAGCTGGTTATGTTGGCTCCTGTCCCCGCCCTCTGTTTTCTGGCCCTCCAGCTAGGTTTTAGTCCAGATGACTGCGTTTTCATTTCAGTCTGTCTGAACCTTTTTTTCTGCAATTTCATGAGCTGCTGTACCAAAGTCCAAATATATTAACATCTGTTGTCTTCCCTGCACTCCGCTAATTTTGTAATTCTGTTGGAAAAAAGCTAACAAGTTTGGTCTAGATTTCTACTTTGTAGCCTCTTGATGACATGCTGACATTGCCACGGATTTTGTTTTCTCTAGGTTGGCGTAGAGGCGAGTCCCTCCTCCCCGAAGCAGCCCCCTTTAGTCTTCTGACACTGTGCACTACATTTTCTGTCAGAGTTTTCCAAACTTAAAATATCTGATTTCTCATCTCTTTACTACATTTCACGTAAACGTGGTTTTTCTAAAAATGCCCCATGTGCTGACCCTGTGGGCAGGGAAGGCTTCTGAAGGCTGCGCATCTAACCTGCTCCCAGAGCAGATGTGTGTCGCTGTGAGCAAGCTGAGGTGCTGTGGATGTTGATGCTCCAGTGGGCGTGTTGCAGGCGCGCTGTTAGTCACCCTAAAAGGGACAGGGGCGTTGTGCAGTGTCCATACGCATTAGTGCTTTTCCCCCTGTGGGGTCTGAACCCCAGGTGAAAACAGCACTCTGCTCATTCTGTGTTCAAAGAGCCTGTCACAGTGGGCGTGGGAGCGCCCATTAGATCTTTTCTCTGGCCCTCCTGCCAGGGAGCCCGTCCTGGCATTTAAGCTGACCTCTCTTTAATTGAAGTACTTGGCTGAGGATGGTTTTCCTCCTTTTACCAATTCCTCAGGTAGTCGGAGGCTGTTCACTTCCATCTTGTCTTCTCTGAGATGGTTGGTGCCACCCTTGGGCTCCACTCTCCACGTCTCATGACATGAAGGGTGAACAGTTCATTGTTGGGGAAGTCTGTGAATCTCCCTGCAGAATTGCCCTGATGTTTTCGTCCTGTAAAATCTCCCCAAATCTCCAAAAATACTGGGTTACAAGTGTGGGTCTTCTGTTGACTGCAGCATTTGAGAGTGGCCCGTTGCATGGTTTTGTTTTGGAACTATTACAGGCTATGTTGAAAAACGAGGTAAGGGTTAAGGGCTTCTCACATTCCCTTTGGCCCTGTCCGATTTGCTATGTCTGTTTTGGAACCGAAGACATTTTCCAGAGGGCCTGTCCATTGCCGAGGGCTCAGGGCTAGGGAGTGGTCTCCTCAGAACTTCACCCAAATCCCCAGTCAGCCAGAGCAGCTCCAGGGATGGAGGTGGGCCCTGTTGGTGGGGGGGTCTTCGCTCAGAGCAGGTCTGTACTTGGTCCATCACCAGGGTTCATGTAGTGAGAGACCCTGTGAGGGAGGATCCGTAGGAGGTGGGGCTGGTGCTGTTCCTGTGAGCACTCTTCATAGGGCAGATACAAAGAAGAGAAATGACGGCAGGAACTCAGTGGCCCGTGGTAGATGCCCAGAGCAGTGAGGTAATTAAACTTGTGAGGCAGGTGTCAAAGATGGTTACTGTCTTAAAATACATCCTAGAGTGAAGGGAACGAGGGAGTTGGCTGGCAGATAACTGTGAGAAGTGAGAAGCTGGGTGTGTTTCCATGAGTGCCCCTGTTTGTGTGTGACATTCATGCCAAACTGAGCACTTCTCCTATTTGCCTCCTAGCAGAGAAATTCAGGAAGTGCACATTGAGGGGCGGAGAGGGGTCCCAGCTGCTGCCCTAGAAAAAAGGGTCAGGGAACGTGAAGTAGGTGACCCCTGCTGGTGGGCTGCCCAAGGATATGGTCTCCAGGGAGGGTACCATCTCTGTTAATGCTGTCACCTGACCAGGCAGGCCTCAAGGCTGGCCATTTACTGAGAAGTCAGGGCTTTCTTTCACCTAGATCTCGGCTGGCGAGTTTGGAGGGCACCTTCTGGGAGACAGATTTGTCTCCATCTGAGAGTGTATGTGCTTCCCTTGTGACGCTGTTGGGCCTCTTCTCTCTTCCGCACTTTTATTTGGCTCATGTTCTGCAGGTCGAAACGAGAAAGGTCAACTGGGACATGGTGATACCAAGAGAGTTGAAGCCCCCAAACTCATAGAGGGGCTCAGCCACGAAGTGATTGTGTTGGCAGCATGTGGGCGGAACCACACCCTGGCCTTGACAGGTACGGAGAAAGCCACCTGGGCACCTTCTAAATTTGGCAAGAGACCAGATGTTTACCTGGGGAAGGGGGGAGTGACCCCATGACTGTTGGTCAAGATCAGAAGATGCTCCAGAGAGCCCGGTGGGTGGCTTCTTAAGGGTATTGAGAGTGTTGCCCTTAGGTGCGTGAAGTCCCTGTTAGGCGTCTGAGACCAGATTCTGGCATTTCTGTGCACCCAGTCTCTGGTGTGAAATGGTTTTGCTCTGAAGTGTCCATCCACTCCACCATCTTTCGGAACACTGTCTTCACTGTCACTCTTCCTGGCGTATGAGCTGTGGTTGTTAGTGTTTTGATGCCTTTGATTTTAAATCTAGATCAAAACGTTCAGGCTTACATTCCTTTTTTCTGATATTGTTCTTTCCTTCCAGAAACGGGCTCTGTGTTTGCGTTTGGAGAGAACAAGATGGGACAGCTGGGCCTGGGCAATCAGACAGACGCAGTTCCCAGCCCCGCACAGGTAATGGAATGCGCCACTTTCCAGGCAGGCTGCATGGCTTCACCTCTGGCTTCGTGTTTGGCTTTCAGAGGTGGAATTGTGTACTTCTCTCCATCCTCCCAGTTAATTGACCCCTTGTAAAAACAAGGTCTAGATGGCTTGAGTGGAACTCACATGCTACAGTCTTTAGAACAGGTTCAGTTTGTGGTCACAGTTGAAAAACATCCTGAAACCAGTTTTTCTTTCCGAATGGAAAAATTTGGTTCGAGAGGCCTTGTTTTAAGCCTGCACAAGTCCCTATTTCCCAAGGAAAGTGTTATTTGGATGTGATTTGTCTTTATCTGCAAATACTTTGAGTTTTGACCTTGTATAAAATCACATACCAGGTGTTTAGAACATGAATGGGACCTGCATAGACTATTGTTCCTAAGAAACTTGGATTAAACAGTTGGAGGGATGGTGTTTATACCTACAAAATGAACTGCTAATACAAAGCAGGAGAATGCTAAGTGCCTAATAAGTGGTTTAGGTGCTGAAGAGTGGGGAGGACTTGGATTTTTTTGGTCTTAAAGAGATACACAAGATACAGTGGCCAAGCTCATCAGCAATTCGAAGGGTTTTTGAGGTGTTTGTGGTTTCTCACCCATTTACTCTGAAGTGAATGTAACAGGGTTTACAGAGAAATAAACAAGGGCTGAGGGGACGTGGCGTGTGCGTCCCGGGTCTTGTCTGCTTTCTGGTGCTGATGTCCAGCTGTGCTGTTCCTCCTGGTTCACCAGGGTCTTGTCCACTGCTTCCGTAGGCTGATTAGTTTGCAATAGCAAGTTTTCTAAGTATTTTCTTAGATTTGTTTCCAAGTCCCATGTTAAGTTATTTGGGGTCTTCGCTATCTTCCTTCTAGCTCCCTAATTTTTGAACCATTTTATTTCTTGTTCATACCTTAGTTAGACTAATTAGTAGCGTATCTCTCCAGTAGTAAAGAGAATGTCAAAAAGTTAATTTTACTGGCTGGTAATATCACTTGCAAAAGCCTTCTTTCTCATTTTTAAAGCCGGGTGACATTGGAATTAGTGGAGATTGAGAATCAGTCAGTTTTCTAGATGCTCTCTAAGCACTTGGGATGTGCCAGGCACAGTGTTGGGCATTTTGATGGATACAGAGGCATGATTTACCTGTCTTTGAACTCTGCTCTGTAACAGAAGGTGGGGGTCATGGGGATGTTTCTTCATATATTTTCTAAGCTTTATATTACAGAAGTGCCCTCACCTTTTGCCTTAAGAATTGTTGAGTCCATTACATTTCCTTTGTAACCTTAGTAATTGTTTTGTGCCAACCTGCAGAGAATAGAGACTTTTATCAATCTTTAAAAAAAAAAAAAAAGTCTGAAAGTCTCCTGTCTTGTCTTTTCAGATAATGTACAACGGCCAGCCAATTACCAAAATGGCCTGTGGGGCTGAATTCAGTATGATAATGGACTGCAAAGGAAACCTCTATTCCTTTGGGTGCCCTGAATATGGTCAGCTGGGTATGGAAGTCTATTTTTTAAAAGCTCTATAATCTATAACTGTATTTGGAACGAGAAATCCGTGTGAGGCCACATACATGTGTGAGAAATGTGGGTAATTGATCTCAGATAATAGCCTTTATCCATTAAGTGGATCTCAAGTTCAGTGGAACAGCATGTTGTAACGCATGGGATTGTAGAGTATTACAATGACTTGCCTCAGTGAAAAAGTCGGGAGTCGAGTCTGACAAAGGATTCTTTTTTCTCGTTTGTGAATTCATTTATATGAAAGGATTTCAAAGTTGTATAAAAAAAAAAAATCAAGCCACATTCATTCAGTTCCACGTTCAGAGATTTGCTTTTATTGAAAGTGAGAAAATCTCCTGGGTGGTTATTTCAGGTAGATGCGTGAGGAACTGCTGTATATAAAAGTGTCTGGAATCCCTCTTGTTTTTTTCATCCTTAAACGGTGTACACATCCCAAAACACATTTACTTATATCCCATTGAGTAGAGAAGAAAACCTCAGAAACCAGTTCTGTCAGTGGAAAATATCTTCTGATCCTAATTTTGCAAGGTCTCCATTTTCTTTTCCCATCTGACACTGAAGTGTTTTTTTTTTTTTTTCCCCTCCCCTCTTCCCTGACGTCCTCCCACCACCCTGGCCCCTTCCATGGAGGACTCGAGTAGGAGGTGAGGAGTGGGCGCCCTCTGCTGGCTCCTTAGCTGTATCCACTTGCCAGTTCAGTGGCAGCCCCCACTTATCTGGGTTGCTGGGTCTCGACGTCATTAAAAGCAGGCAGATGGAAAACTGTATAAATAGAATGAGGAGCATCTCACTGGCCTTAAAATTAGGGAACAGTGACTTTGTGAAACTAAATATACCTCAAGTCAGAAGCGAACAAGAAAGAGCAGCCCCTTACGCACATTCAGTGTTGGTTGCTGGGGAGTTGTCAGAGATTGTTGGAGAAACCGTTTCCATGACCACAGGCACTCTCGGTATACCAGCCCTGGGCAACACCGGAAGTGCGTTTCTGGGTTGCTTCCTGAAGTGTGTAGCTCCCTTGCTGCCTTTGGCTTCCCCAGATTTGCAGACAAGCAGCTCACCATAGCAAGTTGATTTTCCTTTAGGAAAAATGAAATGACCTTGGTAGTAATAATGGCTAACAACAGCTAATGTTTATTGAGCAATTACTGTGTCCCAGCCACCATTCAAGCACTTTGTACAGATTGTCATTTTGCGCAATATAGACTCTTTAAAGGTGTTTGAGAAATTGACTTGATTGTATTTCTAGAATTAGTTATTCTTAAATTGCTAAATGACTGTACAACATTTTTCAATCTTAAGGTATAAATCCAGAGAGATTGGTCTTAAGAGTTAGAACGTAAACGTGGCCTGGGAAGTGCGTTGCCAGCACGTGTTACCCCCTCCCCCAAAATGCATCTACTGGGTCAGGCAGGGTAGAGGTTGGGCTGTGCCAATGAACTGCATTTTAACAAGTTGCCGCCTCTCGGAGGCACTTCTTAATCACATAGTAGGGTCTCAATAAATAATATTGCTGATTGCTTTACCAAAACCTTGTCCAGAAAAGTGCAGGTGTTTCAAAAGACGAGAGTGTGTGTCTGTGTCTGTATGTGTGTCTGTGTCCCCGCCCCCACGTCCTGAAGTGCACGTGCTTTTCACTGTGGCATCCTTAAATTCAGCATAGCCTTGAGAAGCCGTGACCCTGGGACAATGGAAAGCGGCTGGAGAACTGGTGTGATGATATGAATATTGCTTAAGAAGAACGTTATGAAAACAGTGCCCTGTAAACAAATGCAGTAATTTTATTGTGCTTAATTTGATTGTGATATCAAGGTATTTAAGTAGCATAAAGTTCACACATATAATGCCACTAAAAGGTTGTTCTTAGACAAGTATACTTGGATTAGCCAAAAGCTGAGGGCTAACTTATAAAACTGCATATGACATGATAATATTGTAGCTAGCTAGCTAATAATTAATAGGAACAGTAGCAGTTGAAGACTACCAGTGACAGCCCTGCTTGTGTAGTGGTAGCTGACCTTCCACCAGTCTGCAGGAGTGTGGGTGTTTCCTGTGTGTTCTCAGGACTTTTCCAACCGGCTCCTCATTAGCAGCATGCTGAATTGGAATCCTTGTTAATGCATGCATCTTGCCAGTCGTAGCGTATGAATTCCAGGTTATAGCAACTCCTGATACATGTAGGGTATTAGTAATTCATGATAGTGGAAGTCTAGAATTGTTGTCCCATCCAGGGACTCCTTGAGATTCCTTTCTGCAAGAGGGACATATCATATTTTATCAACCATTCCTTTGGCTCAGTAGCTTCCAAGCAATTTTGACTGCAGCCCACAGTATATTTTATATTGCAGCCCAATCTGAACGTAGAAATACATACAAAGAATTTTCAGAAATACTTTTTTTTAAAATTGTATTTATTTTAAAAAAAAAAAAAAAACTGGTCTCAACCCACAAAACTGATTTCATGACCTGCCATCTGGGTTGGGCCTCAGATCAAAGAGTGCTGCCTTTCACTGATTGGGGCAGATGCTCGGCCTGCTCCAGGTTCTCAGGTCTGGGAGCTTGCCTTTGCCAGGAAACAGGCATACCATTGGTCTCTGGTATAACAAGCTGCTGCTTCTGACGACTGCTGCTTCTGGTCTCCACAGGACACAACTCGGATGGGAAGTTCATCGCCCGGGCACAGCGGATAGAGTATGACTGTGAGCTGGTGCCCCGGCGAGTGGCCATCTTCATTGAGAAGACGAAAGACGGGCAGATTTTGCCAGTCCCAAACGTGGTTGTGCGAGACGTGGCCTGTGGCGCCAACCACACGGTAAGGCTGGAGTTTTTCTTAACGCTTCCTGAGTGTCACACCAGTGTGAAGGGGGCATTTAAGCCCAGGGACCCTGACGTGGGGGGTCGTGCCTGCCTTAGTGGGTTTCTGACCACTAAATTGACCACTATGGCCACCAGGCACAATTGAGTACGAATGCTTCCTGCCAGTGCAACTCAGGACACTCAGTTCAGAGTCCTTGGATTGTCTCTCCTGTGTGTCTCCGTTTTGCTGAAATTTTTTTTGAAAGTCCTGTATCACTACTGTTAATGTTGACAGCTTGCTGTCTGGCTTCTGCGAGCACGTGTAAGCACACACGCGTTTCCCCTCCCTCCACAATGGTACCATACAGTAGGCATGTTTCTCCTTTCGGCTTTTGTCAGTTAACAGCATCGTGAACATCTTTCCAGGTTGATTGATAGGCTGTATTCTATGCTGTGAGTGTTGAGCAATTTTTCTTTTATTCAGTTTGTTTCCTTAAAGGATACTTTAAACTGCGGTAAAGATATTTTGCACCTTTATATTTCAGTTCCCTTCTTAAGAGTTAATTTGCCCGAGAATGCCTGTGAATGAGCAAGAGCACTGGGCTGGGGGCCAGAGACCACGTTGGTCCTCCTGGCTCTACCCCCACCTGGCTGCATGACCTTGGGCATGACTTTTCCTGGAATCCTGTTCCCCAGCTAGCATTCAAGGAATTAATCTTTGTAGTTTTGTTCTGTGCAGTGTAGACAGGGGAAATAGAGTTAGATTTTGTTTAGGCTTCTTAAAATCAAATTGTTTTGAATAGATTGTGCTTTCATACTGCTCAAACATGAAACATCAAAGATTCTGTGAAGAAGATAGATTTTAAATTGTTGATATGTGCTCACTTCATCATTAAGCAGATGGGGTTAACTGTGTATGTGATGGGGGAAGTGGAAAGAAAAATCCCAGACAGGCAGGTATTTTCTCCTCTTGTGTTCTTTCTGCATTTTAATCAACATTCTAATATGAAATGGAAAGCATTGCTCTACTGTCTGGAGACACAGTCCTCTTGGTTCTGATGAGGGCAAGGGAGGAAGACTTGTGTTTTTTTGTTTTTTGTTTTTTTTTAAATTATAATAAGAATGGAAAATGGGTTCCTGGCAGAGAAAACAGCAGGCTGGCCATGTAGGGAATGCATCATTTTGCTACACCTGCTCCTGTCACAGCCTCTCCCAATGGAGGCAGGTATAGGTTGTTTTTAATGTTTCTGCTCCTTTGCCATTCGCTGTTAGACCGGGTTCTCCGGCACAGAAATGATGACCCATTTTGTCACCGTCTTGTTGGGCAGGCCAGTTTGTTCCAACCCTGTATTTTCTCTCTCCCTGCAGCTGGTCCTGGACTCCCAGAAGCGCGTCTTCTCCTGGGGGTTTGGTGGCTATGGCCGGCTGGGCCACGCGGAGCAGAAGGATGAGATGGTCCCCCGCCTGGTGAAGCTGTTTGACTTCCCCGGGCGTGGGGCGTCCCAGATCTATGCTGGTTACACCTGCTCCTTTGCCGTCAGTGAAGTGGGTTAGTGATGTCCTCCCCTGTTCATGCCAAGCTTGGGATGAAGGTGTCCAGACCAGGTCTTTCCTTGCAGCTCAGAGCTCCAGTAGGGAACCATGTATGATTTTCCTGGTCCGAGACTGTGAGCCCTGCTCTAATTTCCTTCCCAGTATTCCTTTAACTAGAGCGCTCGAATGTGGCGCCGGTGCTGTGTGCCCTTCTCAGCACTCCTGATAACTGATTAGACTTAACTCTTTCCAGGCATCTGGTCACAGTAGGCACATGTTTTGTTTTTCTTCAGGTGGTCTGTTTTTCTGGGGGGCCACCAACACCTCACGTGAGTCCACCATGTATCCGAAAGCAGTACAGGACCTCTGCGGTTGGAAAATCCGGAGCCTGGCTTGTGGGTGCGTGCAGCCGTCTCCTGACGAATGGGGACCGTTCTGTCTCTTCTTGCGTGTGTCAGACACACTCAGAAGGGCCTCTTCCCTTGAGAGGGCTACACCCCTGCTGACAGGCTCACCCTGTCCTTGCCAAGAGGGGCTGGAAACGGTCCCTGAGCCGAGACAGAAGAGGACACCAGTCCGGGCATCAGGGAGGAGGGGGCTGTGGTCGGGCCTGTGGGGTAGTAGGTACTAGAAGTGGTGGCTTGACTCTATCTTCAGGGAAAGAAAGTCATTTTGGAAGATTTTTTTCTTGAAGGCTTGGTGTGTTCTGCTTATGCTGCAGGTTCAGAATTCTCCAGTTGGGAATGTAGTCGGGTTGTAGACTCTGACTCACTGGGGAGAAGGAGTTACCTGCAAGTCAGTGGTTGTCGATTTATTTCAAGGACACCCGTTGAGTTATCTAGCACTTGGTGGGGAGTTTGATCATGTCAGTCTGCTGTGGGAGGTGGGAGGCGGGGCGGGGGCAGTGTGGCGTGTACCTGTTGAATTCTCTAGCCCCACCAGAATTGTGAAGTCTCACCCCCTTTGGAATGATCTTTTCATTCAGATTTGGTTATTCTTTTCCCGGTTTGTTCATCCAAAGGTGACCTCCTGCTTGAGAACCCTCTAGCTCCTGCTTCCCCCGCCCCGCCCCCCCCTTAGGTCTCATGGCCCTTTGGTTCCTAGTCCTATCTAAGGGCTCTTCTATTTTTATGGGATAGTCGTTAGGGTTCAGGGGAAACTTGGCTAGTCCCCTAGTTACGTTTGCTATTTGGAAATGAGTACATTGTGGAGTTTGTAAAGGATGCACTTGAATTTTAAAAGCCAGTAACTCACCCGTGCTCTTCATCAGGTCAGGGCAGGTAACTTGTCAGAAGAGTCCATGGGGTCTGAGTGGGATCCAGGGCTGAGGGTGCTGGGCATGGCAGTAACAGCCTCTGTGCCTGCTTTCAGGAAGAGCAGCATCATCGTGGCTGCTGACGAGAGCACCATCAGCTGGGGCCCATCTCCAACCTTCGGGGAACTGGTAAGTGGCAGCCGAGTGGTGAAGGGGGCAGGAATCAGGGCCGCATGGCTGTGGGCTTGCTGGGTTCTCTAAAACCTGGTAAGAGTGTGCAGGAGCAAAAAGTGGGTCCTGTTTGTCTTTGCTGTGTTTAAGGGCTGCAACATTTCAGAATATTTGGGTCACGTCAGTGTTCAAGGACAATTCTGTGCTGATCAAATAATTGCGAAAGTTATTTCTGCCCATGGTTTTTTTGTTTTTTTTTTTTTAATTGCAATTTGGTGAAAGTTTACACAGCTGAAAGTTTACACAGCCAGTTAGGTTCCTGTTAGACAATTTCCGCATAAATCGATCAGTGATGTTAGTTATGTTTTTCACATTCCATCAACATGCTCTGTGTTCTGGTTGGTCCGTTTCCAGTATTCTAGGTTCCCTGCCCCTTTATCTTCTCATCTTTGCTTTGGAGTACTTGTTGACCTCTTGGACTCTTACAGATTTTTCTTAGTAGAGTACTGATGTGTGATGGGTGATATCCTTTATTTGTGTGTCATTCTGCTTCTCTGCTGAAGGGTGATCTTGGGATAGTTTTGGTTCAGGGTTTAAAGAGCATCTTGGGGGGTTCCTGACCTGGTGGTCCAGTTAGTCTGGACTTTTTTAAGTATTTGAGTTTTGTTGTGCATTTTTCTCCCATTCTAACTGGGATCATCTGTTGTGCCCCTGGTCAGATTGGTCTGTGGCGGTAGCCGGGCACCATCTAGTTCTTCTGGTCTTAGGATAGTTGAGGTCAGGCTTTTATAGGCTATTAGTCTTGTAGACTTGTTTCTTCTCTGAGATTTTGGTTACCTTCTTACTCTTGCTCCTGTTGAGTAGAGACCAATAGTTGCATCTAGATGGCTGCTTGCAAGCTTTAAGGCCCCAGACCCCTACTCACTTCACTAGGATGCAGAACATGAACTTCATGAACTATATTATGCCAGTTGACTCAGTTGTCCCATGAGACTATGGTCCGAAGCTTTCAAATCTAGTCTGCCCATCTTTTAAAATGAAGAGATTAGTAAGTTTTAGTTCCCATTTCTGTTGCATTTTGGGCTACGAGTGTGTTAGGAGATGAGACAGTTTCTTTCTTCCCCTTTCCCCAGGAGGGTGAAGTTAACAGGAACACTGTATTATCACGAACCCTGGGGCTGGCAGGTGGCGCTGTTGCCAGTGGCTCGGAACTGCCAAGGTTTCCCCATCAGCAGCATCAGGCCATTGTTTTGGCTGCACACCATTGAGCAGGGCGCTGGCGGTCAGCTGCTTAGGTGACTTGAGGGCTATCTTCTCTCAGTTTTCCTAAATTGAGTTTGTAGGTGTTCCTTGATTTTAGTCTCAGTGACTTGAGTGATGAGGTTAGAACCAGTGGCCCTCGGTTTCTCACACCTACTTGGCCTTCAAGCAAATACCTTTAGTTAAGGTTCTGAATGCAGGTAGTCCTTGACCTACGGTGTAGTTGAGTTACAACAAACTGCACTTAAAACCACAACCGTCCTGTCTGTTTTTATTTTTTGCACATCTTGGTGGTGGTAACATGTGCTGCATACAGCATTGCAGTGCATAATTTGCTGATGTTCTCATTCTCATGCCAATCCCCAAAGACAAAGATTGGATATAGAAGGTTACTGATGATGAAAACAAAGAAAACGAGATACTCGACTTAGGTCAGATCTGACTTAACGACAGAGTTGTTGGGCCGGAACCTCCTTGTAAGTGGGGGGACTACCTGTACTTAAAATTTTAAATTTCTTTATTAAGAACAGTAGCTTGGCTGAATAGCTTGCTTCATAATGGAGCTCAGCTGTGGAGTTCATCCTGCTGGTCTGCAGCTCAGCTCTTGGTAGCTTGTCTTCAGTTAATAGTTGATCTTGTTAGAAATGTGGTCTGTTTTCTTTCCCTCCTCTCACCTTTTCTAGGCTGTAGGAGCTGAAATGGTTGATGGAGAGGTGGAAGGGAAGGTCTTTCCTTCTCTGGAGTCATCTGTGGGACTGATGCTGAACATGCATTTTCCTTGATGCTCCTCCACGCACGCCTTGAGTCTGGTGGTTTAGAGAGCGCCCAGTGCTGTGGACACGCAGGTGGCCTCCTTTTAGGCAGCCCCATTCAGAACCTTGAAGGAGTCTGAGAAGAACCTGGCCTCGTTTTTATGGCTTGCTCTTAGAGAAAGACAGATGATTTTTGTGGGCCTGCCAGAACTAGACTTTAACCTTCTAAGTATGAATTTTGAAACTAAAGGGGACTGAGAGGGAGACATGGAGAAGCAGCTCAGTGGTGAGAGATGGCATGGCATCTTGGAAGAACCATGCACTGTACTGGAAGGTGTGAGGTGGGGCCCAGTGGAACATGGCGCTGGGGAAATGGACTGGCCTGTGGGGAAGGAGGCAGTCTGTTTCAGCTGCGCTGATGGCTCTGTGGCCCTTTCTGTTGCCTTAGCACATGACTTCTCAGCAGTCCATGATCAGTCCCTTTGGTCTCTGGTAGGGGGACTCCTTGTCCTGGATCATTACTATGCATAGCACTCCCTTTGACTCTTAGAAGTAAACATCATGATTTGGATAACGTGTTTGAAGACCCCAGAGGCGTTGCGGGTTGGGGATGACGAGAGTTCTTTGCAGCCTTATAGACATGAAGGGCTGCAGTTGCCGTTTTTTTCTGGTCATCATGTTGTCTTGGGTAATTCTTCAGAGTGACATTTCTCAAAAAGCTTGTTAACCCACAGCACCTGTAGGGCATCTCGGTCGTCTTTAAGTTAAAAAATTGCCACCTGTTGGCAGTAGCGTTTGTGGGTAAGTGTTGGTAAAACCGGGCCCTCGTGTCTGAATGGCTGGGCTTGGTGGAGTCACAGAAAAGGCAGAAGGCATTACCTTGACTCCTGGTTAGTGGGATGCCTGGAAACTTCACCATTAACTCCCTTTTTCAGGACTGTGCCAGATTGACCCCATTTTTTGCATGTCTCCCCTGTTTGCTTTGCCAGGGCTATGGAGATCACAAGCCCAAGTCTTCCACTGCAGCCCAAGAGGTGAAGACACTGGACGGCATTTTCACAGAGCAGGTGAGCATGGACGTCTGTGCCTGGGAAAACGAGGCACTGGTGGCAGACATGGGATGCCACCCACTAGAGGAAAAAATGACGTGTCTGATGGCCCCTTCCTTTGCATGCCTCTGATCTTTGCCGCCCATTTGAGTATAGTTTACCATCCTTGACCAGCTTTCCTGCCGTCATGCAACAGAGCTTTCTTGGGGGACATCACCAGGAGAGAGGGCAGAGGAATGCTGGCCAGGCATGGTGACTGCTCTTGCCTCAGTGCCGCATAGAGCAGACTCCCTCCCCTCGCTTGGATACAAGCCATCAGGCTGCAGGGCAGATGGTGGGGCGAGGCCCTGCTGCTAGTTAGCCCGGCTGCCAGCCCCTGTGTGCCGAGTCCCAGAGCAGGAGGCACCTCTTAGAGGCGGGACTGATCCAAGCTGTTGTGCCCAAGAGACAGATGGAACAATCAGCTAGATCCCCCTGTCCCCGCCAGTTCCTGCCAACAGACAACGTTGAGAAGCTGAGCTCAGGAGCTTCCTTCCAGCTGGGTCTCCCAGGGCAGCCTGGGAAGAGTCTGGTTGGCAGGGGTTGGGACGGGCTTCTGTAGAGATGAGCCGTCTTTAGTAAAGGGTTTTCACGCCGTTCAGGAGTTCTCCACTTCTGTCCATATTGACCCAGTTTGCCAGCCAGCTTGCTCATGCCCCATTTCCTGTCTACCTTGTGCTTATCTGCTCCAAACTGGACGGCGGGCTACCGTGCGCCAGAAGGCCCCTCGCACACGCGGCCCTGGTTTGTCCCCTCAGGTTGCTATGGGCTACTCACACTCGCTGGTGATAGCGAGAGATGACGGTGAGACCGACAAGGAGAAGATCAAGAAGCTGCCGGAGTACAACCCCCGGACCCTCTGACGCTCCCAGAGTCTCCTTCCGAGCCCACACCTCTCGCGGCAGCTGTCATTCCATGTGCACTGGGACGGGAAGTCAGACAAGGAATTTACAAAAGCAAAAGTCGACCGAAGGTGCATTTTTGTTAAACTCCCTGAGGTTCCGTTCCGTTTTATAAGTGATTCAACGTCAACTACCTTTTTCTGTATGCTTTCCAAAGTGTTTTTTTTCCTCTTGATGTTTAATTAAAATATTTGCTCATAGTTGACTTACCATTCCTACAAAAGAAGCAGAAACTTTGAGCAATTTAGGGTTTTTGTTTTGTTTTGTTTTTTTAAGTTGTTTTTCTCTTCTAAATACACTTCCCAAAAGGTCCCTTCCCAGTTGTATTTAGCGTTGTGATCAGAATGGGTGCTACGTAGGAGAGAAATTACCATTTACTCAGAAAAACCAGTCGCTGGCGGGAACCGGCAGCATTGTGACCAAGGTGTCCTGGGTGGTTGATCTCTCCCAGGTTGTGCCCGTGTGCTCTGGAAGCATCTGGGTCTCCTCTCCTTGTAGACTGTCTGAGGCCAGTGGTGGTTCTGTGTCTCCCTTGGCTGCTTGAAAGCCACAGCCTCTTGGCTGAGACATTAATAGAATCTGCCATTCCCCACTGGCGTGGGGGCTTTGGGCTCTGTGTTCAGCCATTTCTATCTACTTTAGCTGTAAAAGAAGTCCAAATGAAAATCAGGTGATCCTGGAACCAGTGGGGATTGGGGGGGTGGGCGGCGGTGGGGAACGTCTGTATCTGTTTGAATATGGGCTTTCTGGCTCTCCCAGGAGCCAGGGCCTAGTCGCTAGCACTCACCGTTAAAGATTGATCAGCCAGCAGCAAAAAGGAATTCTGACGTTCTTGCAGCGATGGATCAGCCCTTTATCGTACCAGCCTTTGGCATCTTAGTGCTTCTGTCTGTCTTCCTCCCCCACAGCTGAATCATGCCTAGAACGGGCCCTTCCTGTTTCCGAGACTCGGGGTTTACTGCTCTGCTAACCCAGCTCTCTTTTGTTGCATTTGCTTGGCTCTGGTACCAAATAGTTGGGATGACTGAAGATTTCCCCTCCCCCGCACATCAGTGCAGATGCTGTGACTGCCACCCTGCCCCTGCAAAGTGCCCTCTGCCTGAGCTCGTCACCTGGGTTGTGCTGCTCTGCGTGAGTTATGAGGTGCCTTTCCCAGAACCCTCCTCTCACTTGGACCCAAGAGTGGCACCGGCTCTGGCTGGGGTTCTTGGTTTTGAGAGGGTCTGGACTGGTTTGGGTGCTTTAAAATAGATTTTTAGTTTAGTGGTGCTTATGTAAGGGAGAAGGGGTAGAATTAAGTGTGAGACTTGGGTGAACAGGAAAGTTAAGTATTGGTCTTTTTATTGTTTGCTTTTGCTATTTTGTCATTGTCTCGATGTTAAAATGCCAAAAATGACCTAGTTGTTGTTGCTTTTCTCCTGCTCTCCCACCCCAGTGATTCCGTACAGTTCTTCTGCCTTTGAGGGGCATAGAGCAGTCCCTGTCTTGGCCAGCCCTCATGCCTGGCATCTAATTTCACACTCACCTCTACTGTCCTGTGTTCAATCAGTAGTCCAGGGGAGAAGCTTCTGCAACTTCAGAGCTTCTGCTAAACTAACTGAATTTGTCCAGATCACCCCAAACCACCATTTTAACTCCAGCTTTCATGTGTGGGACCTCATCTGCTTCCCTGGACAAGTGTCTTTTCTGGAATGTGGCTCAGGCATATGTGTTCCTTATACACTTGAGGTCTCCTTGGAGTTTTGTGGGCACCAGGAGGTTTGCAGTTGGAGGAAGCAAGGGTTGAGGAAGCAACAGCCCAGGGTTCCAGCCTTTTGCAGGAACTATATGCTCGGCTGACCCGGTGCTTAGGTCTTCAGTGGGATGACCTAAAACCACAGCCAGCCTGTTGTAGAAGAACCCCATGTCAGGCCTTCAAGTGAAGACCTGTTCCCTCCACAATCACTCCTTTTGGCTTAGACTTGTAAAATAAACTTCCTAATGGGCAGAATCCTTCAGAACAAGGATTCTAGGGGAGGGATCCTGCGCTCCAAGAAAGGTACAGAGTGACCCAGGCTGTGAACAGGCTTTGTTTGTGGCTGACCCTTTGGGTGTCTGACATGTCTTCCAGCTCAGGAAGGAGAATATGAAAAAGAGGCTTTAGAGTGAAGGGGAATCGAAGAGGTTGTGATTGGTCGCAGGTGCCTGGTTTAGTGCTGTAATGGTCTTTTTTTTTTTTTTTTTTAAATATATATATATATATATATTTCTTGGAGTAAACATTTTAAATAAACAACATCGTTGTTTACTCTGTTTTGGCTTTTGTGTTTGTTTTTCGGTAGAATTTAAGAATACGGAGCAGTTCCCTGCAAATGGGCCTCCCAGCCTGCTGCTGCCCGTTCCCAAGCCCTGGCATCCACGAAGGGAGTTGTGTTAGCGGGCCAGACTTAAACTGGAGGGGTGGGAGGTGAGTGGATCTCCCAGCCTTGCCCCTGAATTGTGTGAAGAAATGGAGTTTTTAATGTCCATCTCACTGGGTCCTTGAGAAGCATGGAAAGTGAGACCAGGGTCAGAAAGCCTGAACAGCAGCTGGCACGTGCTATGTGCCCCTGGCACGTACTGTGTGTCCAGGAAAACATTCATTCTCACTCCCCCAACTCTTCAAAGGGAGGCCCTTCTTCAGTTAAGCACTGCCACTTGGATTTAGCTCTTCCAGCTGCCCTCAGGCCTCGCTGGCCCCCGACATGCAGTGTGGTGAGTTGCCCACTGGGGGGCACCAGCCCACAGCATGGCCAGACACCATGAGGCATGTTCTCTTCTGCCAAGATGGAGGCCTTTTGCTCCCAGGCTGCTGCTCCAGGCCAACTGCACCATCTGCAGTGGCTGCCAGCCACCTACAGCCACAAATACCTGACACTAGTCACCATTTGTAGAGCTTCTTGGGTGGTGGGCTGCTTTATATCTATCTGTTGCCTCATTAGTCTCAGGCCAGCCCCTCCTGGGTAGATTTGCCCACCTTAGAAAGGAGGCAATGCCTTCACAGCCAGCACGACCTTTAGGAGACAGGAATTAACTATAAATGTGTCGTTTATTACCAAACGCCTTGACTACTTGGAGCGTCCCTTCAGTTGGTGGAAACTCACTCCCTGTCTGGGGGTCTCCCCCAGTTGAAAGGGAGTAGCCATGGCTCAGGTAGCACCCAGAGAACAGGTGTCAGACAGAACATTCTGGCTATCATTTACTCAGCACTTACTCCTGTAATCCCCATGATAGTCTTGTGAGGTAGGGCCGTTATTCCACTCCCATTTTACAGAGGAGGAAAGTGAGGCACAGATAAAATGGGCATTGGCCAGGGCTGCAGTGATAGTGAGTGGGAAAGCTGGTGTCCAGAACTGCTCTGCTGATGTGCTGCCTCAGTAACGACCCTGCATGCCTGCCCTCCAGCAGCTTGCCCCTAGCCAGGGACAGTGAGTAGATGTGGCCTATGGCCACCCTTTAGAGGGGCTGCCCTTAGAGCAGCGGAGACAGCCAGTTGGCCCGCCCCAACCCTGTCCTTTCCCAAGGTGGTCTGGCACCCTGATAGAACAGATGGTCAAGAGGGAGGGGTGTCAGGCCTGGGGGCACGGGGGAGCTATGGCTGGGATGGGAGCCACTTCAGAAGGTAGGGGTGGAGAAAGAAGGCTCCCTAAGTGTTGGCTGGAGGGGTGGGGGTGGGGACCCTCATCTGCAAAGCTGCTGCCACCCTGCAGAGCCAGCATCCTGGGGCTGGCTGGCTCTGTCCTGAGTGGCTACTTAGGCCCCCCAGGGAGGAGAAGGACCAGGAAGGTGGAGGCGACTTTGCCAAGTCCTGTCCCCTGGGCCAGAGTTGATGGGCCTGGTGCTCTTTCCTCTGGGTCAGTGGGATGCTGTTGGCCTCATACATTAAAGTCCTCCACCCCCAGGCCCCCACAAATGTTGGAAGGACAGGGACCTGGGAGACTGTAAATACCTAGAGGTTGACAACCCCAGAGAAGACCTCAGTGACCACTATACTCACTGGTAGCTGTGGAGCCCAGTCATTTCTTCAGGCACCTGGGGGAGCTGGATCCCCACAGCTGGGCACAGAGAGACTAACAAATGGTTTCAAAGGTAAAGCATGGGAGGCACTTGCAGCTGGAGGTGTTCCAGGCATATCGAGGCCTTGAGGAAGGGGCGAGCGCATTCAAAGAACTAAAAGCCAACAGGTGAGGGGAGGGGTGGGTGCAGTTCACAGAGAGGTTTGGGATTTTCTCCCAAACCCTCAACAGGCAGCTGTGCAGCCTCCAATCAGATTGAATCCTGGTGTTGCACAAGGGCTGCCTCAGAGGATCTGGGGAATGAATGAGACCAACCAGGCACTGGGGAATTTCCTTCACTGCTGCAAGAAACGGGCTTCTCCCATTTTCATGAGTAAGAGTAGCTAACATTGACCTGTGCCGGGCCGTGTTCTAGCGCTGTATCTAAAGTGTTCCAGTCCTCACAACAATCCCTGTGGCAGGACTGCACTTCCTGCACCGATGAAGACACTGAGGCATGGAACCCTCTTAATCTAGCTTTTATTTTCTCCTTTCCCTCCTTCGTAGGATAGTCGTGCAAGTACAGAGTCAGATGAGACAGTGGAGAGGGGTGGGGACTGTGGCAAGTTGGAGCCCACCTTTGTCTAGAGGGTGTAGCCAGCACAGCTAACAGCTGTGAGCCAGGGTTGCCAGGTCTCCTGACTTGTCGCAAGGCGCTGGAAATCCAGACTTTGGGTAAAAACGTCTCAATTGGTGACTAATGAGAAAAATTTGCTTTGTGCAGGCCAAGCAAAGTCAGCTGCCTGGTGTGGGTGTTGAGTGACAGGGTTGGTGAGGGCACTTCTAGCAATGTCCCTCACAGTGTCACTGTTGGGAGCCTGGGAGCAGCAGGAAACAAGGTTAACCTGCTGCCTTTTCAGGGATACCCCTCCCAGGTGGGGAGGGGAGGGCCCAGGGCTGGTCCTGGGTGAGGGGCTAATTGGGGGCTGTTGAGGGGATGAACTGCCTCCACCCTCAGCCAATCTTTAAGTGAGGTGGGTGGGTGGCAGGATGGAATGGAGGACATTCCCTGTCCCCATTCAGGTCCCAGGACTCACTCTCTCTTCCTCCAAACATGGAGCCCTACTAATCCTTCAGACCAGAAGTCCCACATTTTCTTTGGCTTTACTACGTGAAAATGCAAATAG